TCTTATTCAATGGAGAATACAACGGTGACTCTCACTGCAGTTAGGGGAACAATAGGGTATGTGGCTCCTGAACTGATGAATAGAAGCATTGGTCGTGTTTCTTACAAGGCCGATGTTTATAGCTTTGGAATGTTATTGATGGAAATGTTGGGGCTAAATAGATGTACGAGGCATAATGACAACAAATCTAGCCAATATTTCCCATATTGGATTTATGATCACTTGAATGAAGGCAACGACATCGAAATTGGAAATGCCGATAAAAATGACTATGACGATGATGACGATGATGACGACAATGCAAGAAAAATGAGAAGAAAGATGACAATAGTTGGATTGTGGTGCATACAAATGAGCCCAACTGATCGCCCGTCAATGAGTGAAGTTTTAAAAATGCTCCAAGGGGAAATCGAAAATTTGCAAATTCCTCCTCAACCTTCCCAGTTACCTGATATTGAATACCTCAATGATCGAAATTGGGACACAGAGTCAACTGGTTCCATGTCCTTGTTGTGTAATGATTCTTTAACTGATCAATGAGAGTGGTAAGTAAGGATCATAAATTAGTACGTTGTGCAATGAATTGGCATTTGGTAAGACTAGTGGGATAATATCAATAGTGCTTTTGAATTGTTCTTAAACATTTTATTTGATGTTATGAAGTACTACTTGTTGAATGACCATCTCAACAAAAAGTTTAACCGATTAGTGAAATGTATTATTTATTATTAATATCTCCAATACATCCCCTCAAGTGCAGATGAATTACATTTGAAGCCTTGCACTTGAAATATTTGAAATGGGTGGCAGTAGGATTCGAACTCAGGACCTTTCATTTGGCTTGACTTTGATACCATATCGAATGACCATCTCAACAAAAAACTGAAGACATTAGTGAAATATATTATTTAATATTAATATCTCCAATACTACTTTTCTTTTCTGATAATTATCGTAGGATCATATGAATATGTATGCATTGTCATCTTCCAACAATTCATTATGGCCAACACAGATGTAAAAACTTGCCTGATAGGTTCTAAAAGGCAATATCTTTGGTCAAAATGCAGAGTAGCCAAATATGAACTTTATTTCTCTAAAATAAAACAAAAAAAAAATTATATGGGATTTATTGCGCTATCTACTTATGTGTTTACTCTAATTGTTATAGAAAAAAAAAGGGAAAGTACAGTTTGCACCCTTGAACTATGTGTGTTGTCACAAACACCCCCTTGAACTACAAAACGTAACAAAATGGCCCCTCCGTTTCAAATCCGTTTGTGTATGATGACGTGGCGAGTTGACTTTGTCCTTTTTTTTAATTACTTTTGTAGCTGCAACATATTTTGACCTTTTTACCCTCAATATGCTACATCTGTATCTCTCTCTCTCTCTCGATATACTGTATGCATACACGTTCTTGTATGAACGCACATGTTCTTCTAATAAATATTTATAAATATACATAATTTAATTACAAAATAAATTAATTATTTAATTCTTATTTTACCAATAAATACACTAAATTAAACCAAAACAAAATTAAAAAAATTGTAAAACTTTGCCTCCAAGTACCCCAGATCAGTTAATCAATATTTCTATTCTCTCTCTTGCGAACTTTGATACCCGATATTTATGTTGGTGTTGGATCCCATCAGAAAATAATTACAGAAATCAACGCTATTGGTTAGCCACTCGTCGGTGGTGGTTATCGACGGAGACAACCAACGCCGGAATTTCGTCGGCGATTTGAGAAGGTAACAAAAGGCGTGGGACATGATTGTGTGAGCGCTGCCTAGGAGGAATCCTCCCATGCGCTGTGATAGTAAACGACGAGGGGCAGTTTGGATGCCGGAGCGGGGAAAAATTTCGTCGAGGGGAGATACAAGGATGAATACTCCCCTATGATAGTAAACGACGAGGGGCAGTTTGGATGCCGGAGCAGGGAAAAATTCCAGCGAGGGGAGATACGAGGATAAATCTTCGTTGGTGGGAATGTGTTTGCTGGGGACCGAAGATTTGGGATCGGAAGAGGCGGCGATTGGGGGAAGAATCCCGGCCGACGTGTGATGGAACCATTGAAGTTTTGGGTTCATTCGAGGTGGGAAGAAGCGTGCCCATTAACATTAACTCAGTGATACCATTGACATGTTGAAGAAGAGAAGAAGAAAGAATTGACTAGTCTAACTTTTTAAATTAAATACATTTAAGGGTAATTAAGTAATTGCCCAGAAAAACTAACGGTGTTAATTTTCTAACGTTTGACCAAAAATCGGAGGGGCTATTTTGTTACGTTTTGTAGTTCAGGGGGGTGTTTGTGACAGACCCCATAGTTCAGGGGTGCAAACTGTAGTTTCCCCTAAAAAAAATACAAAAGTAATTAGCGCTACCGCAACCTAAGAAAACACTTTTTTATTCTCTAATTTTCACTTTTAAAATACTATCTCGTGCATTGCACGGGAAAAAAAATACTAGTATTATTAATATTATAAAAAAAATCGGCCTATACTGCAATTTTTGTTTAACTACCCCTAAAATCACACAATTTAGGGGGTTGCGTGCTAAACAAAAATACATTATAGAGGGTTTTCCTAATATTCATAACACGATAACTTCTTTAGAATTTGTTTAAGATTGAAAATTATACACACTTGGAAAGATCGGTCGAACGCCTATGTGCCAAGCAATAAAACACACATTACAACGTTACATGGACCATTACAAGAATTATCATAATAATCATAAATGAATTATTCTTTATGTCTATATTTTTATATGTATATAAATCCAAAAATATTCGTATTACATCAGTAATAAATTATAAGGGAAAGTACAGTTTGCACCCCTGAACTATAGTACTTGTTACAAACACCCTCCATAAACTACAAAATTTATCAAATTAGCCCCTAACTTTAACAGACAAATGTTAGATTTTTAACACCGTTAATAATAATGAGCATTTACATATTTACCCTGATTATTTTGATGCTGCAAACTGACGTGGTATCATCACCAAGAATGTAATCATCTCCCTCTCAAATCTCAATAGAAAACCAGAACCCTCTTTAAGCTTAACGAAAACCAGCCCCTGCCCCAAAAATTCGATCACTCCTCCGACGCAGAAATTCTTGGATCATACTCCGCGTTTCTTCTTTCCTGATTTCTATGAACGGTATGGCTCTTCGTTTTGCTTTTTCTGCGTTTATATAAATTTTGTGTGGCGTATAGGCATTCGTGGTGGTGATTTCTCTATTTTATGTTTGTGGGTTTTGGTAACATAATCATGCTCTGGTTTTTTGAATTTCAACGTGCTGACGTTTTGTTGAATATTGTTATGATAAGTTTTGATTTCGGTTTCTTGTCGGGAGTTTGTTTCTACGATTCTTGATTACCTTTGAGTTTTTTTTTTTTTTTTTTTTTTTTCTTTTAATGTTTTGGTGTAACCATTACTTGGTGAAATTAACTGTGTAAGAAAAATTGTGATGAATTATAGGAGGAATATTTAGTCTTTCAATTCTTTAGTTATCGGTGCGAATTTTTATTTTTATGTTTTTGACTTGTTTGTTGAGTAATTTCATGGAAGTCCCAGTTGATGTGTTGATGTTGTATCTAATTTGTTTTCTTTGTTCTCCAACTATTTTATACATTTCTTAATTTCTTTTCCAATTCTTGTTTTTCATTTTCTTTTGGCAAAACTTGTCTAGGGTCCGAGAGGGTCTGTACTACTCGGACCCAAACGAATAAATCTGGTGCGTTGAAAATATTAAATAAATAATTATAACCGTTGATTTGAAGTACGATCCAAGTATGACTCAGTACGAACCTAGTTATTTATTAATTTTAGTACGAACCTAGTAAAATTAGATCGTACACATATCGTACTTCATCGTACTCCATCGTACTTCATGTAAAATTACTATATTACCATTACACAATTAAACTAGAGAATTAAAAAAATCAATAATATATTAAAACGTAAAAGCTGTTAATCTTTTTCCTCAAAAGTCAAATCTCAGCCCTAATTACCAATTAACATTTCTTATCCAATACAATCCTTCGAGAAAATTACTGGTGGCCAAGAGTCTGGTTCATCGTTTGCCCCGACTCTCAATCTTCATCGTTTCGAGAAAATTCTTCGAGAACATTACTGTAAGTGCTCATCCCCGACTCTCAATCTTCTCCGATGGCCAAGAGACTGGTTCGGATTGGTGGATGATAGATGGAATTATTGGGTTATTCAATGCGGCTCGGGATTCATAACCGATTGAAAAACGATATACATTTAGATTTCGTACTTTTTATTGTGAATCGTCTCTTGGAATCACTACCGGAGAAATCGAAGACTTCCGCAAAGGTATCACTGAAATTCTTGTTAAATATTTATTTCTTTTGTTTTCACAGTAAATTGCTTTCTTTGTAGATTAATGGAACTCTAAAATGGTAAAAATTAATGCAAAAAGATTCAGAGCTCTATATAGGTGGTTTTTTTTCTTGTTGATAAAAAGTGTGCTTTCACAATTTTAGACTTCAGGTTATTTTAGTTATTCTTGTTTGAATTGAAAGTCTCGAACTGGAATTTCGTATCTGTAGTTGATGTATGCATTTGGAATTTCGTAGACTTTGTTTACTTTTGAGGATTGGGACGATTTCTAAGCTGGGGATCTAGAGCTCGATTTATGGGGTATAATATTCTTATGACTAATGAATTGGAGTTCCTTTGAAACTCTAGTTTGAACTACAATTTGATCAATTTCTGTTGTATATAGTATTAATGGAATATACTTTCATTCATTGTATACATTGTTTTCTCCATAGAAATATACTATTGACGGGCCGTAAATTGATCATACACTGCCTAGGGGACAACAGAGTCTTGTAACAGTCTTGTAACATGGGTATTGGCATATATATATATATATATATATATATATATATATATATATATACCGAGAAAGCCGATGTTTATAGTTTCGGAATGCTCTGCTTCGAGCTTCTAACGGGGAAAGTTCCCTAATTTACGACCGAGTTTTTCCTCTATATGTAGGGTTTTACGGTACATCAAGAAAATCCTCGTCATAAATCCGGACCACGGCCACCCTGACTCTCCGCCGCCACTAGTGGACTACTGCGACATGGAGGCAGGGTACTTGAAGAAGTTTCCGGAAAAGGGGGGCGCGGGGGTTTTGGCCCCCCCGGTTCTGCAGATCCCGTTTCAGATGTTCACGTACAAGATAGTGGAGAAGGAGAAATTCTACTCCAAGAAATGGGAGATTCATAGGCCAGCTTCGATGTTTGACGAAGATCATAATATGGACGATTTCTTGCTTGCGCCGAGCGATCGGAGGTCCGTTTGTTCGGAGATTATCGACACCAAGAATTCCGGCATTGCTGTGGATATGAGGTCCGTTATTTCCGAGATTCCGCAACGGAAAATGCACCCGTTGGATCAGAGCTCGTTTGGTTTGGAGAGTCCTAGGAGGAAACTTTCGAGTAAATCGTTTAATCTGGAGAGGAGAACCGACCAGAATTTCACTAGTCGGGAGCTGAGAGAGGTTCTTGATAAAGCGATTATAGCATCCAAAGTAGCGGAATCTTCTCAGTTAGTGACGAAAGTGACGGAGCAGAAAGCGGAGAGTACCGAGATTCTTGAAAAGAAACAGTCTTTGAGACCAATAGTTGACCAAAAAACGAAATCTTTGGAGGGGGAAATGATACTGCGGCCCACGAGAAATCGGAAATTAAGCGAGATTCCGGAGAAGATAGTGAAGAATGGAGAATCTATAAAGAACACCATTGAAAAAACCGAGGAAAAAACCGAGGAAAAAACTGGCAAGACAACTGTGATCATTAAACAGATGAAAGATGTAATAAAGACCAAGAAAATTGAAGGTTTGCTCTTTTCTTCCATTTTGTTGTCATAATTTCTACGTCGAAATGTAGTAAAATATTCTAAATAGAATTTCTGATTTTGTTTACTCAGAAACCCGAAACAGGAAAACGAGGTCCGTTTTCTCCGCAGCTTCATCTCCAGCGAGAGCTTTCGGCCAATCAGAAGCACCGAAAAACGAGCCGATCAGAATGAAGAAGAAAACTATGTCCGTTTCTTCGCCAGCTTCTTCTCCGTCTAGGGTTTTCAGAAAGTGCAGCCAATCAGAAGCATCACCGAAAGACGAGTCGCCGTCAAGAATGATGATGAAGAAGAAACGGATCCCCATCGATCAAACACTTCACCAAATCACGTCCCCTAATATATTAAAAAAAAATAAAAAAAAAATCACTAACATCATTTTCGGTCATTATATTTATAAGACGACCAAATAAATAAATAAAATACAAATACGAAAGCAGAAGTAACTACCCCTTCATCACGAAATGGCAAAGTGATTCTCGTGTATATATATACTTGGTGTCGGTAAAGCGCACAAACGGCATTCATACAAAGCTCTTCGTCTTCTTCAAAGGCATCGAGCATGTGGGCCCCACACGTCCATGTTTTGCTCCTCCATTTCGGATTTTTTTCATCAATATTAATATTTTCGTTAATTGGCGAAACCTCGTCTTCATTGTCGGAATCATTGATTTCTATAGCCAAATTTGTATTATCTGCACACGAATCATATTTTACTTTACTCAAAATAAAACATCTTCGAACCAACAAATTAAAATCGAAAAAAAAAGCAACATAAATATGTTAATCCTACACTCTTATAGATACCATCAATTTTTATTTTTATTTTCGAAAAAACATAAATAAAAACAGAGTTACAATAATGAAAAATAACTCAATTTAATTATCATCGTTAAGGTAGTTAGCTTACAAGTTATTTAGGAGCATTTTAACAGCCACAATTGTACCATTCTGGTTTTCTGTACAATTCATGGAATGGAATCTCAATTGTCGACCTCTCATACTGACAAAAACCGACAAACTAGAACACCGAGTATGGTGTGAACTGTAATTAATCTTTAACACGCAATCCTTCAATAAGCCCAACTCCAAATAGATTGTTAAGAAAAATCAATCAAACACGTAGTTCTAAGTAAATTAATTGAAGAAATTAATTGATAAACCGATAAAACAACCGTCTAAATCTTTGATAACCCCAGAAACATTGTCAAATTTGTTTTCCTGTACACAATAACTCCATGAAACACAATTATATATGGATTTGTCCAATTCATGAATTAGAATACACACAAAAATTAAAACCCTACACCTTAACTTTCTTGTTTTCCTTAATTCGTAGAGAAGAGAAGAAAGATTATACCTCGACTATATCCCCGCAGGAAAAGAACGATTGATGAAGATGATTTTTATTTTTATTGATGATGATGGCGACGAGATTTGTTTTTTTCTCTTTTTTTAGACGATGAATAAACAAAGAAAAAAAAAAAAAAAAGGATTGAAGAGATTAGGGTTTAATGAGAATAATTAGATCGTAATAATTAGATTGTAATAAGCTTTTAAATTATTGATTTTCTAATTATATTTTTTATTTTATATAAAAAGGGTTTTTATGTAATTTCATCTGTAATTCAGGGTTCGTACATTTTTTTACTGGGTACGTACTAATCCTACGTGGCGCATTCTTATTGGTTTCGTACGGTCCGAGTAGTACAGACCCTCTCGGACCGTAGACAGCCCCTTGATAGTTTAAGATGTGAAAAAGAAAAGTTCAACCCGCGACATCAGCAAAAACGAACGGACTGGCAAATGGAGGGACCATTTTGTTACGTTTCGTAGTATAGGGGGTGTTTGTGACATGTCCCATAGTTTATGGGTGCAAACTATACTTTTCCCTAAATTATATT